GAGAAGATTTTCATTTACTTCTGCAGACATCTTTGGGAAATATCAGTCTGGGAACACCTTAAAGCAAATTCACAACTTGAAATTCCTAGGGCCACTTAGGTGATGGGAATCCACACTGCAAATCTATGTTAGGGCTGGCCCGTGGCCACAACTGTTCCAGGACAGTTCCCCCACTCCCCTTTTCTGTTTACCATCAAGGCCATCTTCCTTGTAGTCCATGGGGGGCTTGTGTGGAGAAGGTTTTCTTCTGGCTCATCTTTACCCTGAGGGTATTGGTTTTGTGAGGGGTCAGTGGTCTCAGCTTAATGTGCAGAGGGTCTCATGTTAGCCTTCTCACCTGGGAGGGCCCTCCTTGAGGTCTCTCCTCGCTATCCCATGAGGCTACCCAAACCTAAGTTCAAGTTTGCCCAGATCAGCAGGTGTCCTCAGGACAATAGCAGCATCAGTGCTCCCTCACCCAGCTTACCTCTCTGGCTTCCTGCTTTCCCTTAGATTTGGCATGGCAGTTCCTTACTTTCTTGTCAGCTCACGTTTTGTTTTTGTTTTTAATTTAAAAGACTTTATTTTTTAGAGCAGGATTAGGTTCACAGCAAAATTAAGAGGAAATGTACAGAGAGTTCTCATATACCCCCAACCCCCATATATACATAGCCTCCTCCATTATCAACCTCCCCTACCAGAGAGTATATTTTATTTTATTTTTTAAAAAATTTAAAAAATATTTTTAAGATTTTATTTATTTATTTGAGTGAGGAAGCACGAGCTGGGGGAGGAGCAGAGGGAGAGGGACAAGCAGACTCTGCACTGAGCACAGAGCCCAATGTGGGGCCTGATCTCATGACCCTGAGATCATGATCTGAGCTGAAACCAAGAGTCAGACACTTAACTGACTGAATCACCCAGGCGCCCCTAAAAAGATTTTTATTTTTTTTATTAACATACAATGTATTATTTGTTTCGGAGGTACAGGTCTGTGATTCGTCTGTCTTACACAATTCATAGCGCTCACCATAGTACATACCCTCCCCAATGTCCATCACCCAGCCACCCCATCCCTTCCACCCCCCTCCACTCCAGCAACCCTCTGTTTCCGGAGATTAGGAGTCTCGTATGGTTTGTCTCCCTCTCTGGTTTCATCTTGTTTCATTTTTTTCCTCTCTTCCCCTATGATCCTCTGTTTTGCTTCTCAAATTCCTCATATCAGTGAGATCGTATGACTTGCCTTTCTCTGACTGACTTATTTCACTTAGCATAATACCCTCCAGTTGCATCCACGTTGTTGCAAAAGGCAAGATTTCATTTTTGATGGCTGCATAATATTCCATTGTATATATGGACCACATCTTCTTTATCCATTCATCTGTTGATGGACATCTTGGCTCTTTCCATAGTTTTGCTATTGTGGACATTGCTGCTATAAATATTGGGGTGCATGTGCCCCTTTGGATCACTACATTTGTATCTTTGGGGTAAATACCCAGTAGTGCAATTGCTGGGTCATAGGGTAGCTCTATTTTCAACTTTCTGAGGAACCTCCATACTGTTTTCCAGAGTGGCTGCACCAGCTTGCATTCCCACCAACAGTGTAGGAGGGTTCCCCTTTCTCTGCATCCTCACCAACATCTGTTGTTTCCTGACTTGTTAATTTTAGTCATTCTGACTGGTGTGAAGTGGTATCTCATTGTGGTTTTGATTTGTATTTCCCTGATGCCAAGTGATGTGGAGTATTTTTTTCATGTCTGTTGGCCATTTGTATGTCTTCTTTGCAGAAATGTCTGTTCATGTCTTCTGCCCATTTCTTAACTGGGTTCTTTGTTTTTTGGGTGTTGAGTTTGATAAGTTCTTTATAGATTTTGGAGTCCATAGTCTCTCATGGTTCGTCTCCCCCTTTGATTCCTCCCCCTTCATTTTTCCCTTCCTACTATCTTTTTTTTTTTTTATTAACATATAATGTATTATTTGCTTCAGGGGTACAGGTCTGTGATTCATCAGTCTTACACAATTCACAGCACTCACCATAGTGCATACCCTCCCCAATGTCCATCACCCCATCCCTCCCACCCCCGTCCCCTCCAGCAACCCTCAGTTTGTTTTCTGAGATTGAGTCTCTTATAGTTTGTCTCCCTCTCTGGTTTCATCTTTATTTTTCCCTCCCTTCCCCTATGATCCTCTGTCTTGTTTCTCAAATTCCTCATATCAGTGAGATCATATGATACTTGCCTTTCTCTGATTGGCTTATTTCGCTTAGCATAATACCCTCTAGTTCTGTAAAAAGATTTTATTTTTAAGTAATCTTTGCACCCAACCTAGGGCTTGAATATACGCCGAGATCAAGATTTGCATGCTCTACCAACTGAGCCAGCCAGGCACTCCAGAGTGGTACATTTTATACAATTGATGAACCTACATTGACACCCAGTGCCTATAGTTTACATTAGGGTTTACTTTTGGTGTTGTACATTCTATGTTCATGTTGCTTTTATGAAGATATTTGTTATGTTATATTTACCATTTGTAGTTTTCAGAGGGAGATTTAGCCCAAATCGGATTGGAATTGGAAATCTAGTTGAAGTTTTAAAGCATGATTTTGACATCTAGTAGGAAGGAAACTAACATTTAATGATCTCCTTATTCTGTGCCAGGTGCTGTGCTAGTTCTTTCCCTATAATTTCTCACTCAATCCACTTAACAATTTTATGAAGTAAGTGATGGTATCCCCATTTCAAGAAAACTAAGGCCAAGAAAGACTGACATACAAACGATTATATGTGGCAAAATCTGAATTGCATCCCAGTGTTTTTTGATCCAAATTCTGTTCTCTCTGTAACATATGAAACTACCTCTTGTATTATTTGAGCCCCTGTAGGATATTAGCTCTTAGGGCATAGTTAAGAAGTGCTTGGCACATAATAGATGTTAAAAAATATTTGCTGAATGAATGAATGAATGAGTGAAGCAAAGTTCCTAGCCTTGTAATCTACTGGGGAACACAATTGACTAGGGGATGTAAACGTGGAAATACACTGACTACAATTCGATGTGGTCATTGAGTGACTGGCATATGAGCTGAGTGCTATGAGAGCACAGAATAAAGAATTCTCTGTAGTCATTTAGCTGGTTACAAGTAGGGGCTGTGGCAGCAGATGAGTCTGGAGAGACAAGCAGGATCCAGATCCTTAAGGGCCTTGTTACCACTTTACCTCTCATATTGGGTACTTTATGCCCAAGACTGGTTGAGATGCTTTTCATGGGTTGATTCAATCCTCATAGCACCCATGAAGACAGGTACTCTTATGTCTTATGATCTCTACATTTTAGGTGTGGAAACTGAGACACTGAGGGGCTAAGCAACTGGTCACACAGGCTAATACATGCCATACCTGAGCTTTCAACCTGGGCAGCTTGACTGTGGAGACCACATCCTTAACCACAATGCGGGGTTGCTTCTATTAGTACATACCATGGACATCCGATACCAATACATGGTATACTCCATACTAGGACATAAAAATCTGCTAGCTGCATTTTATTTCTCTATGTGGTTACACCATATTTCATTTAACTGTGTTCATAGACAGTCTTGGTGGTTTCTTGTCCTTTGCAATTATGGACAGCACTGCAGCGAGTAGTACGTACTTTCCAGCCCAAGCTGACTGCTGTTGTTCCCCCATAGGATCACTCTTACCCTCTTCTCTGTTATTATTGTACTAAAGGATCTCTACAATTCCTTCAGGGCATCACCCTCAGTTCTGAGATTTGCAGAGCCATAATTCTTTTTTTTTTTTTTAAAGATTTTATTTATTTATTTGACAGAGAGAGAGAGAGCGAGAGCAGGAACACAAGCAGGGGGAGTGGGAGAGCGAGAAGCAGGCTTCCTGCCAAGCAGGGAGCCCGATGTGGGACTCGATCCCAGGACCCTGGGATCATGACCTGAGCCAAAGGCAGACGCTTAACGACTGAGCCACCCAGGCGCCCTGGAGCCATAATTCTTAATCTAGGCATACTGCATGTTGTAGATTAATCAATATGGTAATTGACAAGGTTCATTTGGATTCATTTTCTGAAGATTGAAGGGCCTGGTTGATGTAATAGCTAATATTTATTGAAGGCTTCCTATGCCAAGCACTGCACTGAATACTTTACATACATTATTCTGTTAAATCCTCAACCATTCTATGAGCAATCCTATTATAGTTCCCATTTTTTTTTTTTTAGTTAAAAAGATATTTTTATAAGTAATCTCTACACTCAACGTGGGGCTCAAACTCATGACCCCGAGATCAGGAGTCACATGCTGTACCAACTGGGCCCCTGTTGTTCCCATTTGTAAAAAGAGGAAACTGAGGCTCAAAGAGGCTAAATGAGTTGTCTGTGGTCAGATAGCTAGTAAACGCTGTCTGATTTCAAAGCTCATATTGCAAAGCCCTTTGTTTGCTAGGGCTGGCTAAAAATACACTACAAAATGTGTAGCTTAAAACAACAGAAGTTTGGGGCACTTGAGTGGCTCAGTCGGTTAAGCGTCTGCCTTTGGCTCAGGTCATGATCTCAGGGTCCTGGGATTGAGCCCCGCGTCGGGCTCCCTGATCAGTGGGAGTCTGCTTGAGATTCTCTCTCTCCTTCTGCCCCTCCCCCCTTCATGCTCACTCTCTCTGTCTCTGAAATAAATAAATAAATCTTAAAAAAACCAACAGAAATTTATTGTCTCATAGTTCTGGAGGCTAGAAGTCCAAGTTCAAGGTGTAGGCACGTTGGTTCCTTCTGAGGGTTCTGAGGGAGAACTGGTGGTTGCCAGAGGGGAGGGTGATGGGGGATGGGCAAAATAGGTGAAGGGGATTAAGAAGTACAAACTGCTAGCTATAAAATAAGTTATGAAGATGAAAAGCATAGGGAATATAGCCAATAATATAGTGGATCCCATTTTTATTCCATGGTCAGATTTTATATTTTTTAGTTTCTGGGAAAAGTTCAAACCTTTTTAAAATTTCTGTGTCTTTTTGCAGCCTGAATTCAACAAAAATAATACTTTCTACCTCTTCAACCACGTTGATATTATTATTATGTATCACAGGGAAAGTGAAAGAAATTGGGCTATTGCAAGATTGGTTGCTGCTAGACTTGACCCCCAAAGGTAATTATAGAATATCTTTTTAATTAGTTCCTTTAATTTAAAAATTAATTCAGAATGTAGACGTTCTCAACTAGAATTTTCATTTTTAGGGTACACATGTGATGTAACCTTAGACATACAGTTTGAAAAATTAAACAGGCAATTTATTCCCTTCTACCTATAGTTAGAGTTTGAATACCGTGTAATGTGAGGAAGAATTGACAGATGTGGAAGGGAAATAGACTTATTGAGGGCATCCTAACTCTCTTCTTTACTTGCTGCCATATGACAAAGAGCTTAGATTTAGATTTGTGTTTCTTCAGAGGACAGATTGGAGTCTGGAGTCTATTCGGCAGGTATCAGCTGAATATAAGGAAGAATCTACTAACAATTAGAGTTCTCTAACAAGCAATCTCAAGAATTAGCAGGTACTTTATCCCTGTACATTTATAGAAAGAGCCTGGATGACCTAGCTGTAAATTAGAACTCTTCAATTAAGATAGAGAGGGGAATATAGCACACAGTGTATAAAATCATGGTTCATTATGGGCAAAATATTATAAAACCTGAAATACTAAGATGGAGGGAAGAAGTTATCCCTTGAAACCTACTTGCATATATTAAAGGAAGCCCATGTGGTATAGTTTTCTGAATACAGAACAAGGAATTAGGAAATTTGGATTTTAGTCTCATCTCTCCTGGTTCCATTTTGCAAGTCAACCCTAAGTTTGTAGAAATGGATCAGACTTCATTGTTTTTAAGGCTACTGCCCCATTTGACTTCTGCCAAGGTTCCATCTGGCACAGAGATTATTCCCAAAGGGAAAGAAGAGTTAGAGACTGTATTGTGCCAAGCTTTTGACCATTGGGTAGGTTAACTTGATTTGTCATAGGCTGAATTTCCTCATCTGTGAGAGGAGAGGACTGAATTAGGAGTTTTTAATATGGTCCCTGATATATCAAACTCTGGACATTTGTATTGATGTGTATTTTTCTGGGTAAAAGGGCCTATAGATTTCATTAAACAGACCCCAAGTGGTGAGGAACACTGGTATTTTCCAACTCTGGTTTATCTTAGTAAAAGGATATTCTTTTAAAATTAATGTCTATGTTAAAAATTTTGAGGATTATTTATCTTTGCAAGGTGTTGCAAGTAGGAAATAAAAGAAGGCTTAAAGGGATCAGAGTATATTTGTGAACAACAGGAAATAAACATAGCTACCAAGAGAGGCCAGGAAATACTAATCATTGTCAAGGGCAATCACCTGTGCTTTTTGGTGTATGTCACTTCTGATATCTGGCAAGAGAATGTTAGGAGCATGGACTGTGAGGTCTAACTCGGGATGGCTGCTCATATTCGAAGTCATTAGGTAGTAAACATACAGGGTATGATCATCCAGGCAGCTAGTCCCATCAGCTATATGAAAATCAAACAATGCTTTACAGTTATATCTCATATTGTCAGACTCAGAGTAAAAAAGCCAAGAAAATAATTTTTTAGACTTATATTTATTCTACACTGCACATAGCAACAGTTTATGCATGCAATAAAACTTTTATCTAATCATTGTAAAGGTCATTTATGTGGGCCCCTTGAGAACAAGGACTGTGCTATAAATCATTTTTTTAGAATTAGGCAGTCTGCTCAAGGTCATAAGAAGTGAGTTAGGCCTAATGGTATTCTAGGCCTACAGTCTTGTGTTTTCTATTAGGGACTGTACCCAGCTAATTTCCCTGATGGTTACCATAGTTGATCATTTCTTTTTCCTATAATTACTTGCTTCATTTGGCTTTTGGATTACCATACTTTACTGATTTTCTCCTGTCTCACTGGTTGCTTATCAGTCTTCTCATTTCTCCAACATCTTCATATTGGAGGGCCCCAGGACTGAGTCTTTGAACTTTTTTTTTCTTTATATATACTTACACATTGGTAATCTTATCCTGTCTCATGGCATTGGATCCTACAACGACTCTTAGATCTGTAAACTTGTATATCTAGCTGTCTACTTGACATGACTACATGGATGTCTAGTAGGCATTTGAAATTTTTAGAAAAGATTTTATTTATTTGAGAGAGAGAGAGAGAGCAAGAATGGTGGGAGGAGGGGCAGAGGGAAAGGGAGAAGTGGGCTGTCCGCCCAGGGCTGGATCCCAAGACCCTGAGATCATGACCTGAGCAAAAGTCAGACGCTTAACCCACTGAGCCACCCAGGTGCCCTGGCATTTGAAATTTAACGTGACCAAACATGAACTTGTAATCTTTCCTCCAACCTGTTTTTCCTGTTGTCTTCTCTATCTCAGCAAATGGCAACTACATCCTTCCAGTTGCTCAGGCCCCCAAGCTATGGCAGCAACCTTGACTCCTCTTTATCATTTTTCACTCATACTCTGTATCTATTCCAGTCCTTTGGCAGACCATGGGACTCTGTTTTTAAAATATATTTAGGATCCACCCCTTCTCATCACCTCCACCGCTATCATCTGGTCCAAGACATCATTACATCTCACCTGCCTGATGGCAACACCCTCGCCGGTCTCCCAGTGCCATCCTTGTTTCCCAGCAGTCTATTCTCAGTACAGCGTGCAGAGCATTCCTTTTGAAATGTCAGCTCATGTCAATCCTCTGCTCAGAATCTTCCAGTGACTTCCCATCTCACTTAGAGTAAAGGCCCAAGTTTTGAAAATGGCCTAGAAGGCCTTATGCAACCCATATGTAAGGCTGGTGGTTTAAAATAGGCCTTTTACATTGATTGGAGATCTTAATATACCTTTTGCTGCATGATCTCTCCCATATGAAATGCAGGTATTTCCTGGGCTAGATTCAAGGGCCATACTTAAACATACTTAAACAGTAAACCTTGATATGCGTTATCATTTGGTAATGTAATGTTTTTCCTGTAGATGTTAAGTTTTTATTGGTAGCCTTAACAGTGATCATTTAATTCATAGCTGTTTTATTTTATTTTTAAATTTTTTTTGAAGTAGGCTCCTAGTGTGGAGCCCAACACGGGGCTTGAACTCACGACCCTGAGATCAAGACCTGAGCCGAGATTAAGAGTCAGACATTTAAGGGGCGCCTGGGTGGCTCAGTTGGTTAAGCGACTGCCTTCGGCTCAGGTCATGATCCTGGAGTCCCGGGATCGAGTCCCGCATCGGGCTCCCTGCTCAGCGGGGAGTCTGCTTCTCCCTCTCCCGCTCCCCCCTCTTGTGCTCGCGCTCTCTCTCAAATAAATAAATAAATAAAATCTTAAAAAAAAAAAAAAAAAAAGAGTCAGACATTTAATTGACTGAGCCACCCAGGTGCCCCAATTCATAGCTGTTTTAAAATATATTTTGGCGGGGCGCCTGGGTGGCTCAGCCATTAAGCGTCTGCCTTCGGCTCAGGTCGTGATCCCAGGGTCCTGGGATCGAGCCCCGCATCAGGCTCCCTGCTCCGCGGGAAGCCTGCTTCTCCCTCTCCCCCTGCTTGTGTTCCCTCTCTCGCTGTCTCTCTGTCAAATAAATAAAATAAAATCTTTAAAAAAAAAATAAAAAAAATAAAATATATTTTGGCTTTAAATAGAATTCACCCTACAAACACTTAGTAAGGGCAATCATATGCCAGACACTAGGGTTACAAAAATGAATAGGAAGAGGGGCACGTCAATAACCCCCCTCAATTGTGAGTGAATGGTTTAATTGTGTATATACATGTAGAAATAACCATCCCATAAGGATTGCATATTGTCCTTTACACAGAAGCCAAGGGATAATTTGTATGTTGAGTAAATAATTCAAAAGGGAAGCGCCACTGTTTCTCCTTTGATTTTTCTCTCTCCCTTTTATTCCTCTTTTCTTTTTCTTTTTTTTTTTTTTAAAGATTTTATTTATTCATTTGAGACACAGAGATACAGAGAGAGAGAGAGAGAGCATGAGCAGTGGGAGAGGCAGAGGGAGAGGGAGAAGCAGACTCCCGGCTGAGCCAGGAGCCCGATGTGGGGCTCGATCCCAGGACCCTGGGATCATGACCTGAGCTGAAGGCAGACGCTTAACCATCTGAGCCACCCAGGCGCCCCTTCTTTTATTTTTCAAGTAATATTACAGTCTCTTTATTCCTGACCAGGCACTTGTTAGCTTCATCAGTCCTTAAGTTTAGTTTCACACTTCTTTAGTTTTTGCTTTCCATCTTCTATTTTTTATAATCATCTTTTTCAAATACAAAAGGTTTGCATAGATTGTCCTCGCTACCTTTCATCACTAAGCATGGCATTTTACACACAGTAGGCCCTCAGATCTCTGGCTGCTTATAAATATGATTTCAAAACCTATTTGGTTTTCTAAGCCTACAGCTAAGAATACAAGACAGGTTGTTTAATATATTGGAGAGGGGTGAGATGAAAGATGAGAAATAAAGCCATTTGCTAATAGAAGGACTTTAAAAAATCTATCCACAGCCAAAGAGAAGGTTCTTTTTTTTTTTTTTTTTAAAGATTTTATCTATTTATTTGAGAGAGAGAATGAGAGAGAGCACGAGAGGGAAGAGGGTCAGAGGGAGAAGCAGACCCCCTGCTGAGCAGGGAGCCCGATGTGGGACTCGATCCCGGGACTCCAGGATCATGACCTGAGCTGAAGGCAGTCACTTAACCAACTGAGCCACCCAGGCGCCTGAGAAGGTTCTTTTTTTTTTGAGATTTTATTTTTAAGTAATCTCTACATCCAACATGGGGCTTGAGCTTACAACTCCGAGATCAAGAGTTGCACGCTCTACTGCACGCTCTACTGACTGAGCCAGCCAGGCTCAGGAGAAGAACCATGAGAAGGTTCTTAGAGTGATATATTTTCCCCTGCTATCCGAAAGTAGAGTGTTCCTATGAAAGCTTTTGGAAGCAATTGCCATTAACTTATATGGAAAAATTTGTGAGCGTTCCCAGACCCTCCAAATCGCCTCTCTCAGGCTTTTCTGATACCTTAAGACACATCTTGCTAATGGATGCACAAAGTAAACCAAGATAAAGCACAGATGCTCACAGACCCAGTTCAAAGCATTGGTGGCTTGATGTCAAAATGCTGTGTGGTTCCCAGGGAAGGGGCCGGGTGGTGCCACGCTCACTGCTGGGGTGCGAGCTGCCTTTATTATGGCTCCCTGCAAAAGCGATGCTGAATCCTCTTTTTGATTTTTCATAAAAGTGAAAATCCTCTTTGCATTTCTTTCAGTTAGTTTGTGAAAACAGGCACTAATGTAGGTCTTTCGTTAAAACAAAGTGGCATAAAGTGAGCTTCGGAAAAGCAGGGCAATTTGAGTGTTGGGGACATTTAGAAACAAAAGTATTTTAAGTATTTTTTCAGTCTGCTATTGTTATATGCCCGAATAGCCGTGAATCGGCAATTTACAGTGGCGGTTTGGTATAAAAATTCCTTTCCCTTCCTCCCCGCCCTTTTCTTAGCTATAAGCATTCGGATGAAAACCACCTAACTTGTAATGGACCCCCTATGGAAATTCCTGGAGAACATACAGATAAGTTGAGTGTCACCTACACTTACTCTGTGAGATTTGAAGTAAGTATTCCATGCCATCATCTTACTTTTGTTCCATATCAAGTATATAAATATCATATACTTCCTTAATAGTAAAGCCTTAATTTTCATCATCAAAGTTTTATAACACAGCTAAGAGCCCAGGAAAGTAGGTTAAGTTCTTTATATTAAAACCAGTCAGAGGACAATCGTGAAAGGAATTCTGTATTAAATCTCCCACATTTCAGGTACTGTGTCAGATAACTTACTTTTTCTTACTTTACGTGGAGGTTTAAAAGAAGTATGTGGGAAACCAGAGGGGTGTCACCTGCGGTTGGCAGGCTGGCAGGCTGCTCAAGTGGGACCTTAAAGGAAGAGTATGTTGTGGAAGAGACAGAGTATCATGTACTGAAAAGAACATCCTTTTTTTTTTTTTTTTAAAAAAAGATTTTATTTATTTGAGAGAGAGAAAGGGGGAGCGGGGGCAGAGGGAGACAGAGAGGCTCAATCCCACAACCCTGAGATCATGACCTGAGCCAAAATCAAGAGTCAGATGCTTAACTGATTGAGCCACCCAGGCACCCCGAATAGAAATTCCTTATTGGGCTCAGACTGACCTGTGGTTCAAATTGAGGCTTGGCCACTTACTAGCCAGTGTGAGCTTAGGTAAGTCATGTGATCTCAGGCTCAATTTTTTTTCCTCATGTCATTTCATCCTCATTTTCAGAATATGTAAAGACCTTAGCATGACACAGAGTAGGTCCCCAACATATGGCATTCATTATTGTTTCTACATCTGTCATTTTTCTTTTGTAAGTAGCTGTTTTTATGAAGTGGTATGTATTTTGGGAAGCTAGATAGATATACAGACTGACTATTAACATTCTGGTGAATAATCTATCAGCTCTCTGATGCCCATGTTTCCCAAAGGTTTTTCTGGAAACTCGTTGCTTCATATTTTATTTATTTTTGCTTTGTATTTTCAAAAGTGTTATGTGAAAAAGGGATTCTATGACAAGGTTACTTTGGATAATGCTAAGTTAAACAATGTTAAAACAATGGCATCAAGAGTACTCATTATGTTAAAAAGCACTGTGAATATTCAGAAGATGATTATGATACATGGTATTTCATAGACCATGGCAGAACTCATGGGGTTATAATGTTCTGTAGAATATATCAGGGAAACACTGCATGTGGTACCAAAAAATATGCAACTTTGTACAAATGAGGTATTACATGTGCTATTTTCACTCCATGTGTACATAGAGTCACATCCTTTTTATTTACTGCCTAATACATTTATTTTTTAAATTTTTAAAAAAGATTTTATTTATTTATTTGAGAGAGAGTGAACGAAAAAGCATGAGCAGGGGCAGAGGGAGAGGAAGGAGCAGACTCCCCGCCGAGCAGGGAGCCCGATGCAGGGCTCGATCCCAGGACCCTGGGATCATGACCTGAGCTGAAGGCAGACACTTAACGACTGAGCCACCCAGGTGCCCCAAGAATTTTTTTTAAGATTTCATTTTTATTTCAGAGAGGGGTGGGGTGGGAAGGGGCAGAGGGAGAGGGAGAGTTTCAAGCAGACTCTGTGCTGAGCACGGAGCCCCACGTGGGGCTTGATCCCATGACCCTGAGATCATGACCTGAGCTGAAATCAAGAGTTGGACGCTTAACCCACTGTGCTACCTAGATGCCCCTACTACACATAACGTGTAGGCCATAGTTGATTTACTTAGTGTACTTTTGAAAAGAATGACCCAAATGTCTAATTTTTAATTACTATAAATAATGCTTTAATGAACATTCTTACTTATTTTCTTCTGTGATTATCTCCTAAAGTTAAATTCCTAGCAGTAGGATTATTTAGGTAAAAGGGTGTACATATTTTGATAACACATTGCCAAATTCTTGTCCAGACAAGTTGCTGGGGCTGAGGATCTGCTGTTCCCTCACACACTCAGCAGTACTAGGTTTTTGTCAATTTTTAAAAATCTTGCTTCAGAATTTTAATTCTGTGACTATACCAAAGGAAGATTGATTCATACTAAGCAAACTCCTAAGGGTCCAATGGATAAACCAGAATACCAATTTATTAATTTACATGGAGAAATATAAATGCCAAGCAGACCACACCATTCATGTTAGCTGGTTAGCACATCTGCCTGTTATAATGATATGTGAGAAAGCAAATAGAAATAGAATAGAATAAATAGAAAGTTTCTTGGTGAGCATAGGACCCCAGAGCAAAGGGAAATGGCTATTAAAAGATGATATTCATGGCATTCTAGTGCTCCGCTTGCCCATGGACCAAATGTTTATATTCATGGGTTAGGAACTCAGCCCTGCAAAGTATTAGAGGTGCTTCACCAAAAGATTAACTTCGGGGCTTTCCTTTTTTTAAAAATTTTTTTTTTAAGATTTTATTTATTTGTTTGACAGAGAGAGACACAGCGAGAGAGGGAACACAAGCAGGGGGAGGGGGAGAGGGAGAAGCAGGCCTCCCGCTGAGCAGGGAGCCCAATGCGGGACTCAATCCCAGGACCCTGGGATCATGACCTGAGCCGAAGGCAGACTCTTAATGACTGAGCTACCCAGGCACCCCTGGGGCTTTCCTTTTACAGGGAAAACCTTTTATGACTATATAGATCTGTGCATTTCTCTTTTTAGTTTTTTTTAAAGACTATATCTCATATTTTTGATTCTGCTTTGATCATCCTTGATTTCGTATAAAAGGCTTATTTCTTAAAGCTTTAGATGTGCTTTCTTTTTTTTAAAATTAATTAATTTATTTTTATTTATTTTTTTTAAAGATTTTATTTATTTATTTGAGAGAGAGAGAATGAGAGACAGAGAGCATGAGAGGGAGGAGGGTCAGAGGGAGAAGCAGACTCCCCGCCGAGCAGGGAGCCGGATGCGGGACTCGATCCCGGGACTCCAGGATCATGACCTGAGCCGAAGGCAGTCGCTTAACCAACTGAGCCACCCAGGCGCCCTAGATGTGCTTTCTTGAGACCAAACCCTAATCACATTATTTGGGATTAGGTCTCAAATTTCTTCAAATATTTACAAATTGTGCTCAGTTTGTGTCATGTCTATAGGTGGCCTGACAGCCATTACAACATGATTTTTCCTAATCTCATTCTGAAAGCAATTCCAGGTTGGGGATGCCTTGCTTTTGTCCCTATGTATCACTTATGTGGTTATATCCATTTCATAAATGAGGATACTGAAGCCCAGCGAGGTGAACTAATTTTCTCAGGGTCATAGCTGGCCGGAGGTGGAGGTGATATTCAAACTCAGATCTGTCTGGCCCCCAGACTCATAGCTTTTCTACTCTACTCTTCTGGCTTTCTTTATTAAAGCTCTGTTATATTTTCTGTCCACAGAGTTACTGTGAAGAAAATGAGAACCGTTTATGTTAGAAATGTGTATGTGTGTACTTTGGATCATCCAGCTAGAGGTCAGGATTACTTGATCCTACATCCTGCTGTTCACCCAAAGTACAGTTGGTAAAAACAATTTACTAGTCCAATAAGTATAGTCCAGTCAGCCGTCTGATCTCTGGATGAAATGCAGAAGTGTAATCTGGGGGAAGGAATGAAATACACCCTAAAGAAATTAAAATAACCTTTCCCCAGTGATTGAGAATATATATATATTTTAAAGATTTTATTTTTTAGAGAGCGAGCGAGAAACAGCATGAGAGGGGAGAGGGTCAGAGGGAGAAGCAGGCTCCCCGCTGAGCTGGGAGCCCGATGTGGGACTCGATCCCAGGACTCCGGGATCATGACCTGAGCCGAAGGCAGTCACTTAACCATCTGAGCCACCCAGGCGCCCCGTGATTGAGAATATTATTCAGAGTCTAAGCTACTATCAGAAGTTGATCAAAGAATTGAAGCCCTTCTACATATTTATCTCTTATTCATCAGCTGTTAAAAATTTAAACGTGGCCAGTGGGTGGGAGGGCTCCTGGCTGGCTCAGTTGGTAGAGCAGGTGACTCTTAATCTCAGGGTCATGAGTTCAAGCCCCACGTTGGGTGTGGAGCCTACTTAAAAATTAAAAAAAAAAATTAAATGTAGGAACTTTTATGTTTACAGTAAAAGCCAAGGGAGAACACCTCTAAATTGAAGTTCAGATTCATATCAGGAGTCTCATTTGGGGTTATGGCTCAACCCCTGTTTCTTAACAGGTCTCCATCCTGGAAACTCTTCCAGGAGAGGGAATTATCTTCCTCTCCCGTTGAAGCTCATTTAGGGTGCTTAGAAGGCCCTTGGCTTCAAGAAGTGGCACAATGGAAAGAACCACACATGTCTGAGTTTGAATTCTGGCTCTGACATGTACCAACTGTGTGAACTTAGATAGGTTACTCTGTGCCTATTTTTCCTAATCTGTAAAATGGGCATAAAATCATCACCTCTGGTGATTACTATCAGAGATATGTGAGCTAACATAAAACATTTAGCATGGGTCCTAGCCTGTAGTAGACACACAACATTTCCTATTCCTTCTTGTGGATATAGGAGCACGTGATTCATAAGTGTCTCACACAACAGTAGCTCATGCATGCAGCGAGCACACCAAGCCACAATATTTTTGATGTGAACACCAGAACATTGCTGTTGTAGGTGGGGGAGGGTGTCAGGAGTGGTGGTGTTGTATAGCTCTGGTGCTGTTCATTTTATTGTCTTTAGTTGAAAAATGCCATTTTTTTTAACCCCGTGACAATGATACACATCAACATTTCCCAAAGTGCATTCCCTAGAACACTAGTCAAACAAGTTTGGAAAATGCTACTTTCTACTACTTCCTTTTTTAGCTTCACAAAGCATGTTAGTAAAATATTTAAAAGTCTCCTAGGGTGCCTGGGTGTCTTGGTCAGTTAAGCATCTGCCTTTGGCTCAGGTCATGATCCCAGGGTCCTGGGATCGAGTCCCGCATCAGGCTCCCTGCCCAATGGGGAGCCTGCTTCTTCCTCTCACTCTGCCCCTCCTGCCTGCTCATGCTTTCTCTTTTGCTCACTCTTGCTCTCTCAAATAAA